ACCCCCGCGTTTGCCGAAATGAAATGGGCAAACGCTTCAGGTTAGCAACATATGCTGCAGGAACAGCTCTTGCTCATCCAATCATAGGTACTTCCGATTAGCTAAAACTAAGTTGAATTAATCTAAAACTTCGTCACCCACTGGTTAAAAGCGGGTATTTATACCCAGATTAGCCAAAATATGTGAAAAGCACAATAGTAATACAGTACGTATTAATACTAGTAGTAGCATTAACACACGCCGCTTCGCTGGCTGGCAGGAATAAGGAATGGCGCTTCGCCCATAAATCTTTGCTTGAGTACTCAAAACAACTTCCATAACAAGATAACCGGGGCGAATTGCCAGTGATTAGCTATCGTTCCAACCCCCGGCAATGCGCCACCCATCACGAAGCAACCCGAACTTCTTTACTATCGTACCAGTCGAGTTAATCAGCCTTGTTATACTCCGGAGTAATCTGCCACACGATTCGACGTTCACGACAAGGATGGCGTCCAAAACCGACTCAAATCTTAATTGATTTCATACTTTGGACTCCACATTGATTGGAAAAACATACTATTAATATTACTTCGTAATACTACCTAAGTACTGTACTACCTAGTAGTACTATGAACGTATTCACTTGGATTAGAGCATATCTACCGATTCTCGATCGATTGCGCCAAATAAGTTGCAATAGTTCCACCGCAGCTAAGGACCCAAGTAGAACAGCCACGTTGAGTTGCGTCATGAGTATGTCCATTCAACGAACGCCTTGCTTGGGCAAGTGTTTGGCAACCAGTACATGTATGGGGACGAAGCTGTACATAGTGCGCCGAAGCATAGACACCTAGTACAGTCTGCTAGGGGCATTGATTGTTTGCAAAGTTCTGCAGGCTGAACCAGTGATACCCTTTAGTCTTAACAGTAAGCTAAGCTCCACCAAGTGGGGCATCACTTGGTGGCACCCTCGTTGCAAAGCACAGTTTAGATTCGCGATATAAACGGTGTGAATGCGGTGAGGTGTGTTCTAGCAGGTGACCATGGCGACTCTTGCATTAGTGTTCGTACGAGGTAAGGCTAAACACATTTGGTCCGTCCACTTTCACCTTGTGCACGGGTTGATGGAAGTGGATCTGTGTCGCACCCGAGTTGCGCTACGAGAACCACGAGGTCATTGCAAGCAGGGAGGGCGTCACGTACACGAACTCTGGAGACCGACGACACGACACAGCCGCACTCGACGACTTCCGCACCAAGTTGCTTCATCAACTGACATGTTACGAGCAACGTGTTCCCCTACGAATCGTTTTCGATGTCAGCAGTTGTTCGCACTTAGGAAGCGGGGTGATGTATACCGTCGCCACCAAGTCGTCGATGATGACCACACGACTGCCTCGTGGAATCGCGTCGTCGTGGACTTCATACCGACCGTGGTAATACCCCGACGTGTAGTCGATGCCGATGATATGTCCAGGCAACTTGCGTGCACGTCGAACGGGCACAAATGCACCTACAATCCTCGCATTACCACCACGAAGTCTGACTGTCAATGGAAGGTACATTTCAATGCTAGCGCGACTGGAGCGCCAAACATGAATCCTCGGGACTCGACACTGACGACGTGGGTGATGCGTTCGTCCTTGTATCGCTTTGAAAATGCGTCGATCGTGACTTGGAACGCTTCGTAGTCGAGCAACAACGTCGACACATCCCTAGATCGAGCGCATCAACCAATCAGTGAGATCCAAGTCTGGACATACCAAAAGTCCGCGCCCGGTCTTGGGAAGTCGGGGATCGTGCGGATCTTCGTCTTGAGGTACTTGGAAAGCTCCTCTGGGTCGTCTAGAAGCGCCGCGGACGGCGCAGGCGGCGGCAAAGTGGCACTGCTCATGCCAAAAGATTTTTGTCAGAAAGGATGCGGTGCCGCTGGTCAAGTTATCCGGATACCGTTCCTGTTAGTTCTTTACTACTGAGTATTAATATGGTGCTTTCCGGTTAAACTTGCCAATTGTAAGCCATTGTGAAAATCGTCATGACTTCATTGGTTAGAATTTTGGGCAGAAAATGGACATCCAACAGTGTACGACAAGGTGTAGTCGCGCGTTGCGGTAGCGTGGGCGTCGAGTTGGTGTACTTGAGATATCTGTGCGTCCATGGTGTGCATGTGTGCTGGGGATACGGAGAAACTCGCTTACGAGGCCTACGCACTCAGGTGTTAGCGCTGGATCGTCCATTGACTCAGCTCAGGAAACTGCGTCATACTTGAAGTACATCATACTAAACACCTTGCTAAACACCTCTAACAATTAGTAACGATTGTTTGGTAAGAGAAATCCCACTTTTTGTAATTGGGGTCAATTTGCGGACATTCGGAGTATTAATAATAGTACTTCGGTTAGTATAATCTATTATGCACTTTGCTTCCCATCGGAGCAAGTTAATAATAGTATTGTGAATTCGCTATCAACTTCCAAAATTCGCCTGGTTTGTCTAAGGGTGCGTCTGGTAGCATTTCAAAAATAATATTCCATTAACGTTATCTTGCAAAATGGGAGTAACCAAAATGCCATTTTCAAAATGGAGGTAAAAGGTCCATTTTGAAATATGGCGTTTTGGACCTATTCAACAACTAACTGTAAATCCCACGTGGAATTATTGGATTTGGGTTAAAACTCTTCAAGCAAGACATGTTTCAATTTTGATCAGATTTGTTGAATTTGGCCCCAAAATGGCGTTTTGGGCCTGAATATTGCAATATTTCCGGTTACCAGACGAACCCTAAATCACACTGGAGTTCAGATACAATCAGGAGACATCCGGATAACCGTCCGGATAATTTGTTGGAGCCTTGCTTCTACACCGTCGCGGTGGCTGTGTCGTGGCTGCTGTGTGTGACTTCATCGCTGCGTTGCCGAGTACGTCCACCTCGTAGCACGAGTATACAGCAACCTAGGATGATTTATCGTTAGAGAGATGATGGAATCGTCAAGCATGCCCGATTTCAGCTACGTGGACGACGTGTTTCGCCATACGATTGACCTGGACGAACCTTGGTGTCGCATGAGTTTGGCAGACGTGAACTCGGTGCGGTTGTCACAGTCGCTATTGCAAATTGGCCCCATCTACTCGTACGACAGATTATCATCACGACACGTGCGTCGTTCACGTTGTCACACATTGTCAGGGACATTGTGCATTGGAAGGAACGCGCGAACGAGTCGATGCGAGTGGCCAGTCGTCGCACGAACCACCTCATCGAATCCCTCGACATGGACCCCGTAGAACGCAAGCATCGGTCCGCGTCATCCACGTTGATCAATGAGGTCGACGCGGAACCTCTGCCCTTCGACGACGACGCCCGCGACTCGGTCACCGTGCCCGTCGTGTCGCACTCAGGTTGGCTCATCAAGCAAGCTAGCCGCAGCTGGTCATTCAAGCGCCGACTCTTCTTCATCCTCGGCCGAGAACTCGTCTACCACAAGTCACACGAGTCGTCGTACTCGACCATCTCTGGCCGAGTCAACCTCGAAGTCACGACGAACGTCATGCGGGTGCCCAACTTTGGGTTCAAGCTGGTCCAGGGATCGTTTACCATGCTTCTGTACGCATTGAACGAGGCAGACCGCAACACATGGATACACAAGCTCAACCTGTGCGACGTCCACACCATCGACTTGCCTCCAGTCATCGCCCCCACGACCGCAACCATTCCCGACAAGAAGGTGGTGGCATCGGGCTGGCTCCGTAAGCAAGGCCAGGTGTTCAAGTCGGTAAAGCGCCGCTGGTTTGAGCTCACGGGTGCCGACGGGCTCTCGTACTTCCGGAACCCCGACACCGCAACGAAACCCAAGGGCCGTGTGCTCGTCACCCCCGCCTCGTCCGTCACGAGGCTCGACATGCGTAAAACTGGCGAACGCTTCAGCTTTAGCATCACCGAGAACGCCCTGGACAAGAAGTCGCGCGTGCTATTTGTGCATGCCGACAGCCAGGAGGACCGGTCGATTTGGGTGGCCGCGCTGTCGAGCGTGATCCTTTGCAAGGACGGCGCGTCGCCGCCGGCTTTGTCGTCGCCTCTGGGGCCAAACGGGTCGGTCGATGATGGAACATGCATAGAACGTTCGTTGAGCGACCCAATGTCCCCTGATCATGACGACCTGCCACGTGGCAAGGACGACAGCGACATCTTGGCTGACATTGCACGTGAAGCCCAGCTCATTCTGGTCTCCCCGTACTCACCAGAAGGCACGACGAGGTATATATATATCTGTTCAAGTTCTTGTATCGAAGGGAGGGGGGAGTGGGGGGGAGGGGAGGTGTTGGTTGAATGTATACTTTGTTGCCAGGATATACTGTATGTGGTGAAGGTGTTTGCTGTTTTTGAGTGTATGACAATATATATATATATATATGTTGTGGGGGACGGTAGTGAAAACTTTCTCAAGACGATCCATCGCAAGACGCTGTGCTTGCAGTCCGTCCGACGGTTCATGGAAGGATTGATGGAGTACATGGTCACGACGCGGATGCATTACTTTTGCGCCTTGTGTGGAGACGACAGCAAGCGCCATTTTGACGCGATCGCCGCCATCATCTCGGAGCAAGTCGAAGAGCGAGTGTTCTCGCCCATCCACAAGGTCGTGTACCAGGTGCTCGTGCCTAAAGCCGACTCCAAGGCGCTGCGGGACCGACTCGAGCTGCTCCAGGGCCGCAAACAAGCGTATTTCGGCATCAACTCGCCGTCACCGTCGGGGTACGCCGCCGCCATCGCTGCCATGACCGCCATCGACGGCCAGAGCCTGCCCTCGTTCAAGCGCCGGCAGTTGGTCGTAGCGTGCAACACCATCTACCACGTGGCCGCCGAAGAGGGTCTGTACCCGTCGGCCGCCATGAGTGCCGACGATTTCATCCCTGCGTTCATCTTTGTGGTGGTGCAGTGTCGAGTGGAGGACGTTTTGATGCTCAAGGAACTGCTCGTGGCGTTCCCGCCAGTGTCCGACACGGGCGAGGCGGCGTACTTTGTCACATGTTTGGAGATTGCGATCGAGTACGTGCAGTCGCTCGTGCTTCTCCAGGAGCTGGAACTCGACGGAGATCGGCCGCTCGGCGTCGAGTTTAGTGTGGTCGCAGTGGACGAAGACCTCCGTGTGCTGGTCGTGGCGGCGGTGGCCCCGCACTCCCAAGCGGACGCATGCGGCCACATCCACATCGGCGACGTGCTCATGACTGTGAACGGCCTCGCGGTGCACGACCGGACGGTAGCCGACGTGCACAAGGTGATTCGGGCGGCGCAAGGCCCCGTCGCGCTAGCGTTTGTCCACATCAAAGACGTCAAGAAGGTCCACTCGTCGGTCCGGAATGTAGCAGCAGTGCCCACAAGTCATAACCGTCCAATCTCTACCAAAGAGTAGGATCTCTGATGTGTATTTAATCAAAACTTACCTTGGAATGTGCGATTGGTCATGAATGGAAGCAAAAAAAAACTCTTTGACAACGTTTCGTCTGCAAAGTACTATACACGATGACTTTGACCTACTTCATGATACAGGACAGTATGTACTTGATGCCACAGACCTGTATAAACCAGTCTATTTGTACAGTAACTGTATTGTGCGCTAACGTTAGTAAGTTACTGTGTAGTAGCGACGTGGTTGGATCGCTGGGCTATGTCGTGCATATCAGATTGAATCATTTCCGCCACGAGCGCTTCAAAGGTCGTCGAGGGTTCCCACGGCAGCACCCGCTTGGCTTTGGATGCGTCGCCCAGGAGCAGATCAACCTCGGCCGGACGAAAGTACTTGGGGTCGACTCGTATGACCACCCTCTGGTCATTGCCGACCACGCCGACTTCATCCACGCTGCCCATGGGACCGCCTTCCCATCGCACCGGCAGCCCCACCGCAGCAAACGCCACCTCGATGAACTCACGCACGCTGTGGCACTCGCCCGTCGCCAGCACAAAATCCTATTACCGTAGAAAATATCACAGGTTTCAAATGTCGTCATTCGAACCTCGGCGGTTTCCAACTGCAGCATTTGCCACATGCCGCGCACAAAGTCGCGTGCGTGGCCCCAGTCTCGCTTTGCGTCGAGGTTTCCAATGTACAAACAGTCTTCAATCCCCGCCTTAATTCGCGTGGCTGCTCGAGTGATCTAGCCATCGTATGGTATTGTCATTGGGGTTTCGGGATTCCGGGGTTTCGGGGTTTTACAGATACCAAACGTGACAAATGAGGGTACGAATACCTTGCGCGTGACAAAAGTGGGGCCTCGGCGGGGACTTTCGTGGTTGAACAAGATGCCGTTGACGCAATACATGCCGTACGCTTCTCGATAATTGACCACCGTCCAGAACGCGTACTGCTTGGCCACGCCGTATGGCGACCGCGGGTGAAACGGCGTGTCTTCGTTCTGAGGCACGCTGCGGACTTTTCCAAACAGCTCCGACGTCGAGGCTTGGTAGAACCTGATGTGATGCTAACGTGACATGCAGGGATGTGGATGTATGTACCTACCTGGTGTCGGGTCGACCACATGTTCGAATCGCGTTGAGGAGGCGCAGCGTCCCGAGGCCGTCGATGTCGGCCGTATACTCTGGCATTTCAAACGACACTTTTACATGGGACATGGCTCCCAAGTTGTACACTTCATGGGGCTGGACGGTTGATACGATGGAGCAGAGGTTGCTGCTGTCGGACAAGTCGCCGTAATGCAGAAACAGCCGGACACCATTCAAATGGGGATCTTTGTACAGGTGGTTGATCCGGCCAGTGTTGAACGAGCTCGACCGACGAATGATGCCATGGACGATGTAGCCCTTGGACAGCAGCAGCTCCGACAAGTAGCTCCCATCTTGGCCTGTAATACCCGTGATCAATGCCACGCGGTCCAAGCACTCGTACTCCTTTGTCGCATCGAGGGCGTATCCACTCGGCAGTCTCTGGCGCGCTGGTTTCGGCGTACGCTCCTGTTGCGACGCCCCCAGCAATCCCATCGTATGCACTTTCCACAATTTGCAACAAAAAGATCCATCATCCGGATAATTTTACCCGGCAGGTTTATCCGCATACCATTATCCGGGAGAAAAAGTGGAATGTTGGTCCCAACTCCCAATGGTGGTCAGTTTGGAAGTCGATAGAAGGTACACACACACACACTTCCACGATGATGATGGCAACGGTTCTGGGAAGAAGTCTCATCAGGAAGCAAAATGCCACCACCGCTGCGGTGGCAGCCTCGTGGACACGAAGATTCTCTTCTCATCCGTCGGACGATTGGGAAACCATCACCCGTCGCAACGGTATGTACTACTTATTACTGTACTGTACATGCAAGGACTAAATGCTTCGGTCGTCTCATGTATGGTTGGTCCGCAGGGCAAACCGTTTACTACAACCGCGTGACAAAGGAGAGCACACGAACGAACCCATTTTCCAGTGGCAAGGTGCTTCCTTCTTCGTCCCCTGCGATTCCCTCGACCGCGTCGACGTCAGCGCTTCCGGTTGTTGACGCCCCACAGGACTCGACAAACGCCGTCGAAGAAGCCGTCGTGTACACCCCCATCGACTTTTCCAAAGCCGCTCAAATCGTCGGCCAAGAGTCTCAACTGTACGTGTCCCTTGCTCTCGTTTCCTCCATGGGACCATCTCTAATTTGACTGTCCAATTCTCGTCTGTCGCAGGGTCCACGTAAGTGCATCGTGCCTTCCGTCCATCATCCTCTCAAGCTAGTTTCTCTATGACCTTAGATTACGCTGGAACCGAATCAAAAACTGCGCGCGGAAAGCGGCGCGATGATCTACATGACCGACGGGGTGCACTTGGACACGCATACCGCCGGCGGCGTGCAACAAGGCTTGAAGCGGTAGGACATCCCCTCCATTATGACGACTCACCGACATGGGAAGGATGATGACAGGTGAAAACTTCTTTGTGACCGAGTACACGTACACGGGCACGACATCTGGCCAAGTGTGCTTGGGCACGTCCGTGCCAAGCAAAGTACGTCCCAATGGAACCAACATTCCCATGACAAGTCACACACACATTCTGTTTCCCTCAGCGTTTCATTTATAATCATATTTCATTTATTTATCCACGTGTCGTCGTAGATCGTGCACATGAACTTGGCCGACTTTGGCGGGTCGCTGATCTGTCAGAAAGGCGCGTTTGTGGCGGGGTCCCACACCGTGGGCATTGAAATGGTACGATATATTGAATACCGTAAATGATCTATTGTTGATACAGTTAAGAGAGGTGCCGCAGCAGAACCTTTTATTCTCGTCCATACAAATCCAATTTCGCCTCTGAAACTTGATGCTTGTAGCTGAAATGCAGGGCTGCTTCTTGCATAATGTGTTAAGTTTTGCAGTAGTCAACAAATTTACATTTTCCAAGCAAAGTTACCCTTCTTTCGATGATCATCCATTTATGATACACAATTTAATCTATGTATACTTTGCGTATATCATAAATTGATCATTTACAAAATAATGTCAAAATTACCTTTTAATTTGGGAATTTATCGTTTTCATGTTATTGTTTTGCAGGAGTTTACGAAAAACTTTGGGGCGGGGTTCTTTGGAGGCCAGGGGTTCATCTTGCAGCGGTTGACGGGGCCAGGGGACGCGTTTGTGCGGGCGTCGGGGGCGCTCATCGAGCGGACGCTGGCGCCGGGCGAAGTGCTGCGCATTTCCAGCGGCTCCCTGGTGGCGTTCGAGCCCACAGTGCATTTCGACATCCAGCGCATGCAAGGCGTGAAGAACATCATGTTTGCCGGCGAAGGATTGTTTGTGACAACATTGACGGGCCCGGGGCGGGTGTTTCTGCAAGGGATGCCGTTCGACCGGATGGTGTCGGAGATTGCGAGTCGAGTACCGGGTGGCGGGGGCATGATGTTCGTGCCTGGGTTTGGAGGAGGCGGCGGTGGTGCCGCGAGCCAAGGTGGAGAAGGGGGGGACGTTGCTGGGGAAGGCCCCGCCACAGAGGAAGTCGAGGGAGGTGGTGAAAGTGAACCGGAGGAGGAGTCCATGTTTGGCTACGACGGCGCCGACGTGGAATCAGACGACGATTATTCGTCCCCCAACTCGTTTGTGACGGAAGAAGACCAAGGCGACTTGGGGGACGCGGCGGAGGGGGTGGTCGACTTTCTGAAAAAGTGGTTTTAAACGGATAAAAGAACGTACATGGGAAAAACCCATCAGTTTGCCCCACACAGCGATATCTTGGGTTATTTCAGCAACAAACAATCAATTGTATGTTTGCGTGTCGAGATTCTGCTATTATAACATTAATATTCGTCGCAACTGATATGTACTACTCGTATTAATAGTATTATCTCAGCATATATTATAGGAGACCCTTTCAAGCTGCATTCGTCGTGATTCGTGTTGGACGACATTGTGCATCAGGGGTACTCAAAAAATAATGTAACTTTATTTACGGTAAGTCTGGATGTAAAAATGGCCGAAATCTATGATATTTTGGGAATTTTTAAGAAATTGGCAAATATACTGAAAAACTATCTGAATCCAAAATTTGGAGAATTCAATATTTTGACAAATTTCGCGTTTTTCGCGAAAAGTTAAAAAATGAGGTTCAAGGGACTTTTTTCTGAAAGTTGGCAAGAACTGAGAATCGTCGAGAAATCTGCTCCCAAATTTTGCCCAAATAATATTTCGAAAAATTGGTTCACGGTAATTGGAAGAATTTGATTGTCACCTATTTTTGACTGGCTGGATCAAGCAGATTTCGAAAGAAACTCTTCAGGAAAAAGACCCTTGAATCTCTTTTTATTTATTGGCGAAAAACGCGAAATTTGTCAAAATATTGAATTCTCCAAATTTTGGATCAGACAGATAATATCTCATTGTTTGCCGACTTCTTAGAAATTGCCAAAATATCGAAGATTTTGGCCTTTTTTTTAATCCAGACTCACCCTGAACCAAATTTTCGAAATATTAATTGGGCAAAACTTGGGATGTGTGATCGCTCACGTTATCAATACTTCAAGTGCTATTAAAAAAATACTACGAGAACCCCTGCATATCGGTACTTCTTGACAGTAGCATTTTCAATGTTGTGAGTTTAACGCATTTCAACGCAGCGTTTTACTATGCGTTAAATGGTTGCGAACTTTGAAGTTTCTGCTACAATCGCACGTATCTGGGATTCCATTGCGCAGGCTTCCCTTCACAACGCCATCCCTCCGACGCGAACAGTAAGTACTTAATGGAGTTTGGTGAGGTACAGTTATGTATGTACTGGTATGTACTTCAAGTGTACTGCATGAAGTCAGCGGTAGTTTGCAACGAGTTGACACCATAGGAGTTAAGTCCTTAAGTACGAAAACGTACTTATAGTAGGAGTAACCGGTGGCGACCAGTGGTTCGGAACAGGCCAATCAGACGCCGTCGATTGTTTCTTCATGGGCGATCCATTTTTCAATTAGTTATGGCGGCGGCATCTGCTCCTCAGTTCGTGTTGGCGAACAATGACCTCGACGAAGGCTTGGGCCAGGACGGCCGCACCGCCCTCGAGATCTTCGTGACCAAGAACAACGGCGTCGGTTTGACCTACGACGACTTAATCCTCATGCCAGGTACAGTGCCACGCTGCCCAAATCATCGACTCCCGACATCTCATCGCCTTGCGTTACAGGACACATCAACTTTGGCGTGGACCAAGTGGACTTGACCACCCGCGTGTCGCGCAACATCAGCTTGTACTTGCCGCTCGTGTCGTCTCCCATGGACACGGTAACGGAACATCAGATGGCGATCAGCATGGCCCTCCACGGCGCCATCGGGGTGATCCACTACAACATGACCGTGGAAGAGCAATGCCATGAAGTGTACTTGGTAAAGAAGTTCAAGAACGGTTTCATCACCAACCCCAAGTGCCTCGCGCCCACCAACACGTTGGCGGACGTCGACACGATCAAGGCCGAGCTCGGGTTTGCCGGCATCCCCATCACCGAATCCGGCAACGTCGGGTCCACGCTGCTCGGCATGGTATCGAGCCGCGATATTGACTTCATCGAAAACCGCGACACGCCGCTCAAGGACGTGATGGCGACAAACCTCATCACGGCGCTTGAAGGCGTCAAGCTCGCCGAAGCCAACCAGATCCTCAAAGAGAAGAAGCTCGGCAAGCTGCCCATCGTCAACGCCAAGGGCGAGCTCGTGTCGCTCATCTCCCGCCGTGACTTGGTCAAGAACCGCGACTTTCCGCATGCGTCCAAGAACGCCAACAAGCAGCTGCTGGTCGGTGCCGCCATCGGTACCCGTCCCAACGACCGCGACCGCGCGGACGCGCTCGTGGCTGCCGGCGTCGACCTCCTCGTAATCGACTCGTCGCAAGGTGACTCGACGTTCCAGATCGAAATCCTGCAGTACCTGAAGAAGACCCATCCGCATGTGGACGTGGTCGGCGGCAACGTTGTGACCATGCGCCAAGCCAAGAACCTCATCCTTGCCGGCGCCGACGGTCTTAAGATCGGCATGGGAAGCGGCTCCATCTGCACGACCCAGGAGATCTGCGCCGTCGGTCGCGCGCAGGCGTCGGCCGTGTACAACACCGCCCGCCTCGCGGCCAAGTACGGCGTGCCTGTGATCGCCGACGGAGGTATCTCCAGCTCTGGACACATCATCAAGGCGCTGTGTGCCGGCGCGTCCGCCGTCATGTGCGGGTCGCTGTTTGCCGGTACGGAGGAAGCTCCGGGTCAGTACTTCTTCCAAGACGGCGTGCGACTCAAGAAGTACCGCGGCATGGGCTCCGTGGAGGCGCAGAGCCAAGGGTCAGCGAAGCGATACTTTGGCAGCAACGCCGCGGTCAAGGTGGCCCAAGGCGTTAGCGGGGCCGTCGTGGACAAGGGGTCGTTGAACCGGTACATCCCGTACCTGCAACAAGGCATCAAGCACGGGTTCCAGGACCTCGGCTCGCGCAGCGTGAAGGACCTCCACGAACAACTGTACGCCGGCGAGCTTCGATTCGAGATGCGCACCCCTGCAGCCCAGCGTGAAGGCAGTGTGCACGGCCTGCACACGTACGAGAAGCGCTTGTTTTAGTCAGTTAACATTGCAATAACTTCATCCGCCGCGTAGCACCAGAAATAACACTATTTACAATACAAACACACGTCCTCGTTTTCGATTTTTGAACGGGGCTTTGCGTGTGTGGTTTTTGCCCGCCAGGATAAATTTGTCACCATGATTTGTGATCGTGCAAATCATACTAATTCAAATATATATTGTCGATTTGATACAAATTTGGGGAGGGGGTGCAATCGAATCGCGCCGACCAAACCGATCCACAATCGATCTGATTGGTTGAATTTCATTGAAAAGGTTTTGATTGGCTAATAATTTTGAGCGCATCTGGGGTAGCCAATTAAATCGATTTAATTTCCAACGAGAAACCACATCACAACACGAAAATTCACTCGAAAGCACAATACCTATTGACACTAAATGTATTGACACCTTGAATCCTATCTGTTGGAGCTAATCAAATCCACTCAAAAACGGATTAGCCAATAGCGTTGATTGTTCAATGCTAGAATGACATTTAAAAAAAACACTGGTCAATTTCGGTCATTCTGTCCGTGAGTTTTTACCAAATGTATGCAACAATAATATTGGACTTACTAGTATGATATAAAAGTTGAGTGATTTTAAATAGTGTATACATGCTTGACACTATATTATTTTATCGTTGCGCTCCTCCATCAGGGCTTTCCATACCTTGGACGAAATGGACCGCAAGCCAACGTTTAGCGTGGGCAAATGCTTGAACCCAATATGTGGAGCAGCCACATTGAACCAGTACATCCACTATTGCGACCGGTGGGCATGCCAATTACTTCGTGGTTTGCTGGTGACGTGCGAAGCACTGGGGAACGACAAGGAGTCGTTGGAAGCAGCGTACTATGCAGACCTCGCCAACAACGCTGACACAGCGGACGAAGATGAGGAGATCATGTTTCATGCCGCATCGTCGTCGAAGAAGAGGCCATTGGACGAGTCGAGATTCACGGCCAAGGCCGAACCTGTGGTGAAAGCGCCGCCGACCACCGCCGCCGCGGCCTCACTCCCACCCCACTTGCCAGACGACGCCGAGTACCAGATACCCAAGAAGAAGCGCGACGTCATTCACGACAACCTGCCGATCCCAAAGCGGAAGCGCGAGGACATTCCTCGACGACCAGACCTCCCTCACCGTCGACCGGACTCGACCAGCACGTCGGACCGAAGGCCAACGCGCTTCGACGTCGCACCGCCACAAACGCCACCGCCAGCACAAACTACATCCGCTCCATCCAATCCGTTCGCCGCAGCCACGCCGCCGCAACCCGAACGGCGAGGATCCAACAATCGGTTTGTCCATGGGTATGTCAACCACGCGACGATCACGAAATCGGCCGAGGCCGCCAAGAAGGACATCATCTACCAACCCAACGACCCGTCCAGGCAGCGCCAGAAAGGTGACAAGGCCATCCACAAGAAGCCAGCTGCTGCCCATCATAATCCGACCCCGTTTGCATCTGGCAAACCTCGACGCGTGTCGTTTCATTCAGAGTGGATCCAGCCAGCGTCCAAGAACCTGCGCCGTGTGCATGACCCCGTGTCCATTCTCAAAGTCCCCACGGCGGCAACAGCCGACACGACGCGACCGTCTTCAAAGGCTGCTGCTTCTTCGCACGATCGATCAGACAGCAGAAACCCAGAACGACCTGCCAAACACTCGCATAATAGTGCTGCGAAAAACCAAAAAATCTCCGTGACCGAGTACAAGCAGAAAGCCCGCCCATTGACCCAGGACCATGATGACGAAACCAGCAAGAGCGTCAAGGCCCCGCCGACCGACCCCCGGCGCGCCATGAAGCTGATGGCCAGCCGAGCTGCAGACCCCCCCAACCCCCACCACGAACCACCTCTCGTTCCGACGTCAGCCAACGACCCAGCACGTCCAGAAGGACACCAGCAACCGACCAAACCCACCCTCCCTCCTCCTCCTCCTCCTCGAGACCCCCGGCAGCAGCACTTCCGCCCCCCTCCCCCTCGGCCGCCTTCTTCTTCAACCGCTGTGTCCAACCTAGTGGTTCCGAAAGGGGGTCCCCCCAATGACCCCCGGGCGCGACCTCCCGTCGTCGCTGCGGCAATTCCACCGAACGATCACAAAGGAACGGGTGGTGGGGATGGGGGGGACAGCAGCAGGCGTCCTACACCACCAGAAGCAGCGACGACGCATCCGACTGGAATGTCAAGTGAAAACGTGGACGATGAGGACAACTCATGGATGATGGAAGCGCCGTCGTCCAAGTATGCCAACCCGCGACCTGTAAAGTCCTCTGGCGGCGATGCCGACGACGATGCTGACGTGCACATGAGCGGCCCACTTGAAGAAGGCGAACACGATGATAATGCTGGCAATGACCCAGAACACCACGAGCATGTCCATCACCCGCCGCCCTTTCATCCGCTAGAAGGCGAGTACATCGACGAAGTGTACGAATCGGAAGCCCCGAGCCACGACGACCAACCACAGCCTCTCGTGCCCCCCGTCCAACTGGACACATCCGCCCTGTACGACGCCGTGTGGCTGCTCAGTGGCCGCGTACATTCGGCCCTCATGAGCATGAAACTCCCGCTGACCAAGAAGGCCGACAATTACGACCACTTTCAGAGTGTCGTGCGCGACGTCGAAGCCATCGACGACGCCCCCGTTCGCGTACGTACAATAGAATCTACCTGGAAACCATAGGGGGAAACTTTGGGAACTATACATAGTAGCTCATCATATTGATATTGTAGATGACCTTCCGCATTGAAGACCGACCGCGGGGCCACGACAACCATACCGAAGTGACCGTTAAAGTTGGCACCCATGTGCTGATGCACTATCTGGACAAGGGCTCGAGGTACACGGCGCTGCACGCGGTTTTGCCGCGACTGTATACGCAGGCGTGGGTGTGGCATATGCTAGTCAACAACATCCAGGAGGGGCTGTATCCATCCCTCGACCAAGCTCTCCACAAGTCTCGCTACTACGAGGTACTAGTATCTACTACTAGTAGTAGTACTAGTACGAATTATCGACGTTGGTGTGTGTGATAGTGCTGCGACGACGACGACGAAGCCGACGAAGGGTCGGGCGTGGCCCCGGATGGGTCTGTTTACTACTTCAAGTGCATTTTCCGACTGCAAGTTGGCTACGGCGTGCACGAACATGACGTGGCGGTCGCAAAGACGAGATGCTACGACCGCGCATGGGAGGCCCTTCAAGCCATCTGCGCCAGGCTCTCCTACATGTACCGCCCGCTCGTGGAGGAGGACGAGGACGATAACACGCCGGCAAATGCAGAGGCCGACGAGCCCGCGCTGACGTCGTCGCTGTCCAACATTCACGTGGACGAAAGAGAAGACTTGATCGCTTTGCCGCCCCACTTTACCAACGACCTGGCCCCCCATTTGGCCCTGCTCGAGCGCGATCCCAACTCGCCGGGATCGTCGCCCATCTTCGCCCACCCCACGGTCCCAGGGCGACTACCGGACCAATTTTCAGACGACGACGAAGACATGTACGCGTGATGACAAGGTCAGAAAAGCGTAAGCGCAAACTATCAGCAAATATGCTGCCGCCGTGGGGTTGTACAGACAGTAGTAGTTGGTGGCTCCCGTAAGTGCTCGACTCGGGAGTAGTTTTTGCAAGAAATAATTGTCTTCAAAATGGTGAAATGTTGTAGAAATTAGTGTGTCTTTTTGTGACGGATTCAATGGCTAATTTTACACCACATTTAACGTTCGATTCACTGTCAACGTATGGCACCATACACTTCATCTAAAAACTTCCAACTGGCCAAATTGAAGAGTGGAGGTTTTATTATTTAACGTGCAATTAATGTAGTTAAACCCAAAATCCAGATACGTTAAATACTGATTTCATGCGTTTTATCACTGGAGTGGGAGGTTAAAGATCCCAACTGCCTCCGGATATTAAATACGGATAAGAGTCATATACAAAAATCAAGATACACTTGAGCTGCCACCCCTATGGCCAAATATCCAAGCGCCCATGTAAAATACCGCTAGGTTAAATATCTATTTCTGGACGAATTCATCACCAAATTTGAATCTGAGACTTAGAATTTCTTCACCATATTGAGATCTGTCGATTCTACGTCTCAATTTGCTAAAATTTTGCGTAATAAATATGAAATATAAGTCAGAAAATTTTGTGAAAAGTTGGTAGTTTATAGATGTCGTGCATCATAACGCCAGGATAAAGACCGTACTGTGGTGAACCTAGAAACTTCCAATATTTCACAAAACCGTCAGGCTGCTATTTTATACTAGTATTTATTTCTCAAAATTGAAGTAAAACGAGATGAAGTTTCCACAGATCTCGTCGTGGTGAAGAGATGCTACGTCTCAAAATCAAATTTGGCAAAGAACTGGTCGAGTAATTGACTTTGAAGCATTGGTCTTTTGTATAGGGCCAATATAGGGCAGTAGATTTTGGCCACCAATGTTACCTTGATGTTACTATTAATACTATAGTTATTAGGGGAAGTTCCAAGTAGTTTGCAGAAATACCGGTAGCATGAGCCAATCAAAAGTCGATTTACCTCTTTTTTTTCACGATTTAGAAAAAGAAGTCAAGGGCCTCTTTTTCTACTTTTGGTATAGTGAGTTGCTAAAAAAATCGCACAAAAGGAGGTAAAAAAGTAGAAAACTGTACTTGGAACCAATTTTTCATTTTGTTAAAAATATCTACAAAAATATCTACTTCGAACAGGCCCTACAGTTCATGCTACCCTACCCGACGGACACAGTGGGTCTTCATTCTAACGTAAACAATCAATTTAAGATGCATTTGAGGAAGGCGGCTGGGGAGATCTTCCAAAGCTCCCCGCCCATACAACATTTTCGACCTCTGAAATTTGGAGATTGTAGCTGAATTAATGGGAAACTACCTCGTATCATATTGGGTTTCGGTGCATTTCCAATGACAAAAAACCAAGCAAGTTTGATCTAATTTTAACAATCAATTTAGGACGCATATTTTTATCTTGAATAGCGAATAACTATTTGCATATAATTTTTGTGGTTAGGTTATTTCGCGTTGTTTCAATGGCTCATATGAAATTTCGGGTCTTTTCATTGGCTCATGCACTTTTTATCTTAAATTGATTGACATATTGTGATGCTCTTAAATTGATTGTTTACGTTAGGTGTATAACTTCACTGTACCCTTCCTACTTAGGAGTATCCAATAGAATTGTTGTCGGAATGAGTATCTTGTCGGAATATTCATGCTATCGATCGATTCTTTGTCCTTTTTTTTACTACGTAGTACTTTTGTATGTAAAGATCGTCCAGTTAATCACACTAATTTCAATCACACACTAATGCAGTGTTGAATTGGTCGAAGAGTGATTTTGATTGGCCACTTGATTCGTGTTCTGGGTTTTCATTCGTCGATCGATTGTCTGTTGATTTGTGCTGCTCATTCGATTGAGAACCCCCTCCAATATCGAATCGACTTGACAATACTAACTGGGCGTCCGTCCGACAGGGACATCGATATTTGGGGATGTGGTGGACATGCTCTTAGATTCGGTACGAATATCCGGATCCTGCCCGATCGGATCTCGCACTGAACCTTGCCGCGACATTTGATTGGTTACTCCAAACTTTCTTGTCGCTGATTGGCTAACATTTTCGTTCTGTTTTCCAAGCCCTTTCTTCGGATTCGTAGGCGAGAGTTCTGCGAAGGTGCAGGAAGCGAAAACTTGAACGAACTTCACACACTGGCACTTGTCCCAACATGACTTTGCCCTTCCGTTTTGCCGCCAAGTTGCTGCAACACTCTCTCGTGTCCATTGTACGGATGACACCAATAGATGTGATGACTGAATAGTAAGAAATAGTATAAATAGGACGAGGTTGTATCATTTAGTACGTTACACAAGCATCACTGCCACGACGGACGCCATCGCGACCACCAACCCCCACCGGCCGTTGTTCGATCCAACGGCGGCACTTGACTTGCCAGCGATCGACGAGGGGGAACCTGGGGCGGCCGGGCTTGGCGTCGCGTTCTTTCCAAACGCGCCTGTAGTGTTGGTCACGAGCAGCTCCTGGGGCACCTTGCGCTCGGCCTTGGGGAGATCGGGGAAGGGCTCTGCGTTGGCGGGTTTCTTAACGCATCCGGTGCCGTCTGTCGTGCAGACCTGGCACACCTGGGCGAGAAGGACACGGCGGCACCCGAACGCCGCGTCGTAGCACTTCTTCGAGTTCAAGTAGCAGGGGGGGTTGCTATCCGTGAGCTCCTTGAGAGTCGGCAGCGGCTGCATGTACGAGTTAGGTTGCTTGGCCACTTGGTTGTAGTAGTTGATGAGGGCAGTGGACCGCGCCTGGTTGGCGGTGCGGTTGAACGGATCCCGCCAGAACGGAATCATGCTCGTGAGGTTGCGCGAGTCGAACTCGACCTTGTTGTCCTTGCAGAACTCGACAAAGCCAGAGTAGGTGCGCCCAGACGTGCCGAACGGAATGCTCGTGATGCCCACGAGGTCGTCGATGGCCACGAACCCAATCACTTCGAACGCGTACGTGCACTTGATGCCGTCGGGCTTCGTGCCGCGCGGGCACAACCCGCCGGTTTGGGTCTTGCGGCATGCCTCCGACTTGCCGCCAAACGGACTCAAGTAGCACGAGTTGGGGTACGAGAACCAAATGTTTTCGTCGTACGGCGCGCGCGGGTCGTCCTTGCGGGGCTCGCCGCCGACGAACGGGCCGAGCTTGGGGAAGTTGTCGAGGCCGTCGATTTCTTTGCACTCGGCGGGCACCGGTACGGCGGCCGAGATGGGCGTGCAGATGCCGTTGTCCATGGCCACGAACGGCCCGTATTCAGGCATTTGAGTGTCTTGGAACTCGGCCAGCATGTACGTCGGCTGCACGATCGTGATGTTGTAAAACCAGATGTAACTCATGTTGTTCTTGCGGTAGCAAGGCTTGTTGACGGCGTAGTCGATGCCTTCCGCCTGCAAGTACATGAGCGCGCCTTCGACGCTGGCCGTGTTGACCGTATCCATGGACACGCGGTACTTGTCCTGGAACGTAACGGCGTCCTTGACGAAGTCAGCCACGAACGTATTGTGGCCTGGGCCGGCGTCGTACGACGGAGGAAATGCTTGCACGCGCGCCTGGATGGATTGCACAGGCTTCATAGTCCACGTGGGCACGGGGTCGGCGGCGACGGCGACGGAGGCGGCGACCGCCGAGAGGCTGGCAAGGGCTTTGTACATCATGATAGTATGATGTGCTGCGCAGGATGAGACCAATGCGAAAGTGAACTGGATGCGGAACAAGGAAGCACCACAAAAACGCCTCCACCACTCTCCGCCCGCCCATTACGCCATACCGTGTGTATCCCGCGTCCCCATTTGCGACACCACACCGAGATACCCGGTATATATACCCGTTAACTTGCCCAGATATATATATCAGAACAATACGCACTGGACAGTACTGTACACCATGATTCAACAGTGCAAAGAATCAACAGTACATTGGATACTAGTACCCAGTATTTTCAGCTAAGCTCTTTGATGTTACTTGTATTTGGCATTTCCAGCTTCTCCACAAACCTTCTAGTGTCATAATTTGCGGCGCAGTGGAATTGCTAACAAGCCGCGGAATTTGTCGTGCCGCCGTCGGACCTGTTTTTATTGCTGGATTTAAATATCAAATACCGGATATCGGGTTTATGTGGTTGATTAGCATGTGATATCGGGTTTATGTGTGTTGATTAGCATGTGAGTATGGAGATACCCAGATGGGGGCGATCCTATAGCGTCACTTCAACGTGTTCAGCATAGCAAAGAATAATTCCCTCATTGAAACGTTACACTGTTGTTTTGACCCGAAATACTGTTTCGCTATGGGAACTATCCACACCTTTTAACCCGTAGCCTAGTAACCTGGGACTCCAACGTGCCCCCGATGAGTACATGCGATGCTACATCACCGGGGTAAACTGCATCACCAGTGGTTAGCTATCTCTAATCACTGAGATGCCCTTAGACCCTTCAGTACAACAGTATGAGGTTGAGGTCGAGTATACAAAATTCCATATGAACTCTTAACCTGTAGTTTCTTCTGAGAAAAGCACAGTACGTAGTCTTTCGTTAATAAAGGAATTGTACCCTTCATAACCTCAGGCAAGTGCCATGTATTCTTCCGACTTTGGCATTGCGCTGTACTAGTACTGGGTGTACCACACCACATGAGTGTAATGTGCCCACACTTGAAATCTATTTTGGATCGTGGTTTCGTGGCTGGTCAAGTCGACGATGCAGTCCCGATCCACAACTCCTTACCCACTCTACAATTGACAGTGCTTCCGTACGTCATCGGGATTGAGCCTGCTCGTTGTGCTGACATTCAAAGGCTTAAACAACCTCATCGTCCTCGTTGAAGACTACGAGAATGCACATTAGACACGACCAGCAGCCACATGAGGACGAATTCCCTCATATAACATTCCACGGTTGATTACGAAATCGTTTCGATTGTTCGTATTATGTTTAGTCAAATGCAGAAGACAACACTTCCAGCTTGGGGTCAACTGCATTTCAGTGGAAGCGATAGCTAACCTCCGGTGATGCAACTTGATCCCTGGAATTACTGGTATAAGACAAGGTGTCTGGGAGTTCCGTGGTTATACTTCTCTTGGTTACAGTGGAAGTGAAATAATTTCATAAGAAACAGTGAAACTGTTGTTCTCAGAGAATTACTCGCCGTTTTATGGAGTGAAACATGCTTACAGTACTTTACGTGTTACGTTTCGATTTTACTGATTGGACGTGCAGTACGGTGCATATGTCCAAAGGGCGTTAACCCCTTCGTTTCTATTGAGTTTCTAATGTAAGTTATGCAGCTGCACTTCGCAGCAGGGGCTAAATATGGAGGGCCTGCATCGTGGATATAGTACTGTACGCCGTCGTTGGAGAAGCGACCACGTGTGTGTATTCTACTACTTCAAGTATTGTTGTGTTTATATTCTAAACTGGAGCAAAATGGAGAATGAATCCACACAACCAAATGTAACGTTACACAAGAGGGTTTAGCCAATCAGGTTGCAGGAAACATGAATTAGTGTGTGGCTTCAATTAGTGTGACACCAATCACCACAGACAATAATACTAGTAGGTCGGTAGACTCGGCGATTCTGTACAATTGGTGGGTAAGGACAATAGCATTGGTTCGAAGGACAACGATGGGGTTGTTTGCCAGCAATAATATCGACTCTCGATATTCCTTGAAACTATTTCGGAGGCAACCTCGAGTGGGGCCACGCTTCTCGATCGGCCATCCACCTGACCAAGCGTTTGGACGAACTTTTGGCGCGATGCGGGGGGGGATCTTACGTTGATATTTGTACGCGGCGCTACGATTCGAACAATCGGCAACATGAATATTTGTCGTGGGGTGATTGTGGAACGACTATGTAAGTACAGTACTTACCATTCCACTTTGTAACGATCTACACGTGGACATTGTGGTGACTTCTCGTGGATGGCCAAGCATTTGCGTCCTATTCACTCACACGACACGAGTGGAACTACGATTGATTGGCGAGCTTGGACAGATTTGGCATTACGAGTTGGCCTCTCTTCTCAATTCGTCTGAGAGGCCATCACGGCAGCGTTGAAATGGCGAACGACGTGACCTCGACAAGCACAATCAACACATGACACAATACGAATGGAGTTGTGAAGGGAAGAGTCCTATATTAAGCAGCTGCAGCAGTCGGCCATAGAATCGTCGGTCACACGGAAGATACTAAATTCGATGTGGGATTTCGTCGCTTAATAGTCGGAGCTGCCGCCGAACATGTCCATGCCACCGCCCAAGTCAGCGTCTTCTTCTTCCTTCTTCTCTTCCTTCTTCTCTTCCTTGGCAGCAGCGCCACCGGCAGCAGCACCGGCAGCAGGGGCAGCGGCGGCACCGCCGATACCACCGCCCGAGGTGATCAATTCGAGCAACTTGCCTTCCTTGGACAGCAAGCCAGCGAACAAAGTGGGCCAGTAAGGCTCCACTTCGTTGCCAGAGGCGGTGATCACGTTGGAGAGGGCTTCCGACGTGATTTCGGCATCTCCATCGAAGAGGACCAACGCCGCGTAAGACACGGCGAGTTCATCGTGTTGTTCCTTGGTGATAGCCATAGTTCCCTTTACTTCACAGTGAATAATAACGCCCTCGCATTGTCCTGACCAACTCGAAATCGGTTGGTTCCTACACCGAGTGAAAATCCCGTGCCAATTGATAAACCTCTGGCATTTGATGATATTTTACGGAATTCTCCAGTTATCCGGATTTGAACCATCACCAATCCATGCCACGAGGGTGGTGGTGGTCACAGTCGCCATGCGCTTGTAGCGTTAACGTTAGTGGGATATGGTCAAGACTCGAAGTCCATGCAGAGGATGCATGCACGTGCATGGCGATGCCGAAGACTGGAAAATCGGTACATACTAGTAGTATATCCCTTCCTGTTTATTGCAATCAAATATATACTGATTTGACAGAGAGAATCGTGAATTGCACGGCGCTGGCAAAAATTGCAATTACTGAGTCTTAATAGTAATGTACTACGTAGTACTAGTAGTATATATCATTGGTAAAAAAAATAGTGTACTTTTCCCCTTTTCCCACAACAGTACTATGGTTTCCGGTCGTCGTAGTAAGCACCAAGAGCATTATAGCTTTGATGTATGAACCCCAGCAAAGCAAACAACTAAAAGACGACGACAGCGGGGGGGGGGGATTTGTGTGGGGGGGTTTATCGAACAAGGTGCTTTTTAGTTGCCGGCGCCGACGAGTAGCCCGCCTTGTCTCGCCCGTCTTGGGGTTCCAGCACCACCTTCTTCTTGACAAATTCGAGCAAGTCCTTGGCCGCCCTACAATCCCGTGAGCATGCATCCCGCCATACGAGTACATATCATACTTGTAGTAATTCGTGTCTGGCGAGTTGTACGCAATCGAGTTCTCGCACATGAGCACCAGGTCGTCCTTGAAGGCGGCTTTGGTGGCGTACGCGTTCTCGTCGATCTTCTTCTGAATCGCCGAGAGGTCGATGGGGCACTGGATGATCTCCAAGTAATCCGTCACGACCGTCACGTCCACCGGCTCATGGAACGGCCACGCGCTGCGGTGGTTGGAAAATGATTTCCACATCGACTGCAGTTGCTGCTTCAACGAACTCGAGTCGCGGTTTCTAATGGGCGCATTATATATATATATATATATATATATACATTAACCATTCCTATATATATTATATATATATATAATATATACATTAACCATTCCTATATATATATTATATATATATACATTATTCACCAATCCTATCTCATATCACCCCAAGCAGCATGAATTCACCACGGCCACCAACAATACTACTCGGACTATCACCACATCCATATGTACCCCTCGTACAATCGAATGTATTTTTATATATATATTATATATAAATATATATATAGGCCAACCAACCAACCACAACCAAACTGTCCATACTATATAATATATATGCACCCCAACCACCCAATCAACTCACTCGTCAGTCCCCATATATATATATATATATCCAGCGCATGTAAACATTTGTATTCATCAGTCCAAGCCCACATATGTCGTCCGTACGTTCGACTGGTGCGAATCAGGGTCTGGCTCCATCCAGCTTCCTTGACACCAGGTACAGCATGTATGTTGACCAGTCGCGCATCGCAAAACGTCGTCAGTCCGGGGTACACGATGGCGGCTTTCGATCTCTTTTGGATTTCATCTACAAGCATGGCACGTTGGGCGTGCACCATGGCGGTGATGTTGAGGTAGTTGATGTGTGGGTGGATCTGGCACTCCATGAGCGTGCCGCCATCGTAGTCTTTGATGTACCCAAACCAGTTGGGCCTGGCCATGGACACGACCTTGGAGAAGCCCTGCTTCTTGAAGTACCCGATCGCGTAGTTGTCGGCGTACGTGAGAAAGTGCGTCAGGTGCTGAGTCTTGACAAACTCTTTGAGGTGGTTCATCAGTCGCGTGCCGTAGCCCTTGACCTGCTCGCTGGCCGTGATCGCACAAAATGCAATCTCCCCGAAATGGTTGGCCAGGAACGGCCGGTAGCAGATGCCGCCCACGACCGTCTTTTTGTTCTTGAGGATCACCATGCTCTGGTGGTTGCGGTCGAATACGAGCCGGACAATGTACTCCTTGGGCATCTTTGGCAGCTGCTTGGAGAAGATGTTCTTCAGAGTCATGAGCTGCACCATGCGCTCCGGCGTGCCGTCGTTTGTGATGACGCAAAACTCGAGCAACCCCGTGTCTTCTTCTTTCTTGGCCATCTCGTCGCGCGACAGGATTGCGCTCGTCAAGTCGGGGTCGCCCGACGGGTTGATGGAGGCAGAGTAGTCTGCCGGGATCGGGCAGGGACGGGCGATGATGCTATCGTCTGTTGTACGTTTGCGTTTGAGTGGGGACGATGAAGGAACAACTGGTGTCATGGTTGAGATACTGGACGTTGGGTGGTTGTTGGCGCCATCTTCCGATGGGACGTTGGGAGACCGAAGGGGAGGAGGTTGTGCGAGGCTAGACTCAATGGTGGGTTCGGACGTTGACTCCTCCTCGACGACAGCACCGGGGAGAGGAATGGGTGACTCAGCAGGATGGCCTACGACATCAGCATCCCCATCGATTGGCACGTCAGATGTTGTGGCAGTGGTGTTCACTGCATCGACATGCACGTCATTGGATGTCTTCTTGTCGTCACGTGGTGATGCTTCCTCGGAAACTTCAGTGGCAATCGCAATCGGCAAGTCGGGAGCGTTGTCGATGTCATTGTCGTTGTCTGGACTCGCACCAACGATGCCAGAATCATCTTCACCTCCCTGCAAATCAACGTCCTCGGCCTGCCTTTCGTCCATGGATACATCAGGGGTCACTCCTTCGATATCTACCTTGTTTTCCTTGACGTCATGACGGACGTCGTCCCCATCGTCGGTCGATGCCATACCTTATGCCCGCCCGATGGGTTTTCGCTTGATCCCGTTTTGCCTCCAAAATGATATCCAATCAGCATGCTCTAATCTACCATTAATGTCCAATCAAACAACTGTATTTACCCGGATACTACTATCCGGATTCTCCAACGCTCACCACCTCTCCCATTGTTCAAGATCGCAACCCCTGATGAATGCATCTGCAGCATCCTCGACTTCGCCAAACACGACGTGATGACCATCTAGCCCTGGCGATGGGACCAGCATGAAGAAGAACTGCGACTCTTGGTGTTTGGGCCGTGTACATACTGTTGGCCATCTGCAAACTGTATCGCTTGCTGTGCGTTTGCGCCAGACTCGCCTCCTCGTCCTCTAGCACGGTTGTGAGGATTGAAGGCAATACGAGGTAACAGTACACAAATACCGAAGATGGCGTCGCCGCCACAGATGCTCGTGCCTCCGTTACTGTTGCCGAACTCTACATCGCCACATTGGACTATAAATTCCTGAGAATCCGGTGGCACTTGGACTTTTTGTAGCTAAACCCTGGTGCATATTGTCTGTCTCCTGTGACTAGTCTTCGGTAGTTTTCTGCCGTCTTGGGCATCACACATAGATGTACAACTACTACGTACAGAACCGATCCAACACGAACCAATGTCGTGATTCTACACTCCCTCCTGGGTCTACCTCCGCCGCCACCCCGTGCAATAATGGGAATCGATGGCACATATAGCCACACGTATCGGAGCCCTCGTTGCCTTGACCACTTTCGCGACAACAAGTTATCAGACGTGAAGTTGCGGCTACGGTGGCGATGGTGCAGTGCTTCGTTTAGGTCAACAGACTTGTCGACGTGAACGTCAGGCTTGGTGAGTGTGACGTCGATAGAGCCTTATATAGTAGACAGGAACACAATGACCAGCAAGGCAACGCCCGCCTCGGCATAGAAGCCGCCGACGGCCACACTTCTTTTGTGAGCCATCCTCCGAGGGGACGGACGTGCGAAATCCGGATAGTTAACAAGGTTGCCAACCCTGTGCAGTTACTGTATCTCACAATACTGCATCTCTTAATCAAATATTTCACCGCCATCCACCAGCATAACGCTGCGACCTAACTCGTCATCATCCGAGGCCACACCCGCGGCTTCCATGAGGTCGAGCACGTCCAGGCCTTGCACGATTTCTCCGAACACGACGTGGTGGCCGTTCAGATGGGCGGCTGGCCCGAGCATGAAGCAGAATTGAGCGCCGTTGGTGTTGGGCCCGGCGTTGGCCATCTGCAGAATCCCGCGCTTCGAGTGCTTCAACGTCAGCCCTGTGGCTTCGTCTTCTACAGGACAACCGTCAACCGCCACCACATCCTACACGACACGTACCAAAATCCTTGCCATAGATGCTGGTGCCGCCGCGGGTGTCGTACGAGCCGCACTGCACGATGAACCCTTTCAAGATGCGATGACACGTCGAGTTCTTGTAGCTCCAGCCGGGCTGGTTGTCTCCCGTAACCAACCCGCGGAAGTTCTCGGCAGTCTTCGGCACTTTATCCATGTACAGCTGCGTGATGTAAGGACATCGTTGGGATATATTTCATACGAGGGGTGGGTGGTGGTGGCTACCTCGGCGACAAGGCGACCAGCAGGCACATGGTCGATGGCGACGTCAAGCCACACGTACCGCCTTCCGCGAGACCGAGTCCAGTTGCGCAATGGTGCCGTGGAGCGTGAAGGTGATGCTGTTGATGATGCCGACGGACGGTCGTCGTGATGGACTGCTCGGATATTCGCGACTTGTACGTCAACAATGTGCGCTGGGCCAGTGGTCGCGAAGAACATCTTCTGCATCGATACAAAGTAGAACAGCAGGATGACTGCGACGGAGATCGTCGAGATCTTCATGGCAGCATTGGACCCTGATGATGAACCATTCCGTCTTGCCGTTCCTCCATGGTGAATGGCGGCAGCATTCCAGATCATCTTCGCCGTCCTTCTGTTTCACACAGTACCAGCCCGAGCTGCTTTTGATTGGTCCAAATTATGATAATTATTTTATTGGGCAAAACATAGTAAAATGCGCAATTTTGATTGGACAATAAAGTGTTAATTGAGGTACTCCCCACCGTCCTTGAGTACGACGTTGTGGTTCAATATGACGCCATCTTCCGCGGACCCCGCCGTTTCCATCAAGTCCACGACCTCAAAGCCTTCCACGACCTGTCCAAACACCACATGGCGGCCATTCAGGTGCGGCGCCGCGCCCAGCATGAAGCAGAACTGCGACCCGTTCGTGTCCTCCCCCGAGTTGGCCATCTGCAGCACGTAGCGCTTGTCGTGCTTGAGCTGGAGGCCCGCGGGTTCGTCCTCTATTCAACGCATGAGGTCAATCATCCTGCATGAATGACAGATGAAACGGGTAGACGTACTGAATTTGCCGGAGCTGTAAATGCTACGGCCGCCGTAACCTTTGCCGGTTTCAAAGTCGCCGCATTGCACGATAAAGCCAGTGATGATGCGATGGCATACCGATCCCTTGTATGAGATCCCTGCGGCGTTGTCCCCCGTCACGAGCGCGCGAAAGTTCTCGGCCGTCGCGGGCACGATGTCCATGTACAGCTAGTCGCAAGATCAGTATGACATGGAATGAGGTGGGGGAGATGTGAAAGGTACATACCTCGGCGGTGATGCGGCCAACTGGCTCGCCATCGATTTCCACATCGATCCACACGTATCGACGGCCAGGAGCGCGAGACCAAGTCCGCACCACTGGCGTGGGCGGGGCAGAAGTCGACTCTACGGCGAGTTTGGCTTCGGCATCGGACGCCTTGAGGAGTGGCGGTGAGCTTGGCGCAAAGGACTTCTGCACCCAGACAAAGTAGACCAACGTCAGCGTGACGAGGAACCCTGTGATGTACTTGGGGTAGTTGATGCCACCAGCGGCATGACCTCGTCGACTGGTGTTCATGGGGAAGTAATGCAACTGCGCGTGAGCGACTCGAGTTTCAAATGACGTCATAGCGAGGATTTAAAATATATTATCCTACATATCATAATATTATTATACTCGAGTAGTTATTATGGGAATTTGTAAGTGCTTCAGATTTGAAGGTATTAAAATAGTGTTTGAACTGAGACTATTATTTAAATTTGCATTCGAAAACGTTGCGATGTGCGTCTGCTCGGTCCCAAAGGCGAATTCCTCATCGGCTTCTCGACGGAACATATGCGGTAGGACCCATCCTGCACAAAGCCGATCATCTCGTCCGTCTCGGCCGAACTACAGTTCCGTATAGTCCAGTCGATGGCTCGACCACAGGTTGTACAACGAGGCCAATGCAGGGACCAGCGGTGCAATTCGCAGCGTCCACCAGACGGAAGTACCCACCCCAATCAACCAGTCGTCGTCGTCGTGGTAGTCGGCCGCGCTTTCGCGCGCCACGGCCATTTTCTTCGAGGCTTCCGTGTCCCCATCTGTATCGGCCATTGTGCTGAACCTTGAGCATACTTAATGGCCGATACAGATGGGGATACTACAGCCTCGAAGCAAATACGCGCGTGGTGACCCGCGTGTGTTAAGGTCTGACGGATGGTTCTGGCGTCGCGGGGCAAGAAACCTATCAAGGTATGATCTCTTTGGTAGATAACTAGTTATCCTTTGCATCAACCTCGCGAAGAAAGAACATAAGCCAAAGTTGCCTGCCGACTCCATGACTCGAGACAAGGTGGACAAATACTACTACTCAACTGTCTGAGACACATCTGCAACCGCGTCATGCCCGGCGGGGAGCAGGATTCGCTCGGTGCCGACGACGTATTCGGATCCATCGTACACGAATCCAATCATGAGACCCGTCGCCGCGTCCTTGAGGATCCATCCGAGTTCGTACTCGGAATGCGCATACCGACACGTGACGCCAAAGCCAGCGCCGTGGACGTGCAGTCGGCAAGTTACCCGCAGTGAGCACATCGAGTCGAGGGCAGGAACGACCGACGTTTCGTGAGCATAATCCACGAGCATAAAGTACCCGCCAAAAATCAACTTGTCGCTGTCGTCGTGGCCTTCCGCTTGTGCCTCAAATCGCTGGCGCACCAACGGCGCGTTCGTAGGTGTCCGACCCCCACTCGTACCGACCGATCTTCTCAACTTTGATTCCGTCGATGGCCGTTGGTAGCGCAATGCGCGTCAGCAACGCGGATGGCAACACGTCGCTGTGATGACACACATATCTTGTGTGGTCTCCGTTCAAATGAACTTCGTGGACGTGCCATGTGCCCGTTTTGCTCGGCACTCGTTGCTTGCCTGAAGTATTTGGCCGATTTGGCCCACGAGTAGGTCACCAAAAGAATAAAGAATAATGGAATGACCTTCATGTTGGAAGACCACCATCATTCGTCGCAATAGTGTCGTGTGAATGCAGGTCAGGCCAGCCCAACCACAACTACAGTGATAGTTACTCCGGAGTAAAACGACGTTTGCAACCTTTCAGTGTGATGAGCCCTCAACACAGTCGAGGTCAATAACTTGTCTGTGGCAGAAGCAGCTACAGACACCGCACGGACTATAAGGCATTGCACAGATATGTCATTTCAATTGCAAGTTTAATCTATGCGCTGACTACGTTCTTGCCAGGAACGAACGACACGCGTCGACTGGACATTTGCACTGGAATTCCACCGTGCCGTGTGTATCAGCGGCACCACTACTGTACAAGTTGCGCCATGCACATGATCCGGGTTCATCGTTCACTTGCTACCGACGACGAACCACACGAGTCGACTAGACGTTTGTATTGGCGTCCCAAGCTGCCGCCATGTGTTCCGACGGCACCACGTTGAGGCGTGCCAGTCGAGGTCCCGGATTAACGTTCGAGCACACGCTGTTTGTTTCTGTTGCACTTGTGGCACCACAGGGTGCGCTCGGTGACGAGGGTGCTCATTGGGGCTGTGGTTCCATGACACGCTTTCATTGGCTAGGGCTTACAGTTAACGAGGGCGAAGAAGCTCCAAGAGACACGTTGCCTCGGTTCGCTTCTCGGTACGGGCGACGGCACACCGTGTGCGTCGTTGTGACTGAGTTGCGGCTGAACGCGCTTGGAGTACAAGTTGCCAATGTAATTCCAGCGGCGCTCACGAAGGAAGGTGTCGAAGGCGTGATAAGGCATTGGCTACCGGTACCGGTGTTGGGTCGAATGCAAGTTCAATTTTGAGCCACTTGGGTTCGACTAAAGCCAAAATGCAGTGCGACGATGTGTTTCGGTTGTTGGCTTCCGACGACGTTTTGAACGCATTCTTGTTGGCCTGCGACGATATGTTGCATCGATTCAAAACACCGTCGCAAGACAACAAGAATTACAACGTACGACTGCTTGGTAAGCACATGCGTTGAAATTCTATACAAGGCGGGTCTTCACTCGGTAGTTGAGGGTTATTGAGTAGCGTACGCTGTGCCGCATAGCGAAATACAGTAGCGGTACGAGTGATGATGCTCACAGCATTCGACGTCCGACTTGTCTGCGGACACCTACGGAAACCCTAATCTAATGCATGCACACATAGCAACGTTATGTGCAGTCGTTGCAAATCAAGACATGATTGCATGTTCACTTTCGTAACATGCAAATGAAGCTGTAGGTTGCGATGTCGTGTTGCGTTCCACATCGACCAAGCCTTAACCCAGAGAGACCATAACAATCCTGATAATCTGCACGATCGTCGGTAGTAGTTTTGGGGAGTCTCGGTCGAGTTGATGTATACCGTACAATAAACAATAATGAATGACCAGCACGAGCGCGATTGTTCAGGTTATCGTGGTGACCTCAAGCCTCGGTGACCGCCATCATGTATGAGCAATTGAGCTAACCAGGCTGTACCCTCCGAGTCAACCGATGGCGTACAGTATGCTGGCAACATGGGCGACAGGATTGGTTTGGAGAAAATCATCCCAACTTTGGCAGCCTTTTGCATAGGAATTACAAGTATGTGATGCTACGATAGGACATCTCATCCCTGATGTTGATGCCATCGAAGAGTGAATGCACGTTATGATGGATACTGTAATCACCAACACTCTTGCAACAAGAAGTTCTGTCTTGTCCAATCCGGTTTCGTTCTTTCGTAGAATCGAATAGATTCAACCAATGAGGAGGCGCTTCAGTTTTGTTGAGTGTTGGTCCTTGCGGCGAATTCAGGTATTTCATGCACCAAAACGACAAAAGCAGAGTTCCCAGTCCCAATTCTCCGTAATGCCAGTCACCCACGCGTTCTTCATGTCCTCGCACGAGGTAGCACTACTCGCGGCGGCAGTAGGCGGCGACGATGAATACAGCGATGTCGGCAACACCATCGTGGACGACGACTTTGACTTCTTGGGGCCGCCTCCAACGATGCACCCGTCCCTTCTCCGCGCGACGGCGATGGACTGCACATTGGCGACATGCGCTCCATTGACTGCGTCTCAAGTGCAAGAGTCCATGGCATGGTGCACGCCGTACACGCTGACGCGTTGAGCAGCATCACCGCCACAGCCGCTCCACATCGATATTTAACCTGCATGGGTTGGCGGTCGTCGATGAGTGCACTAGCGTGTCCGTCCACCATGACATAACTTATTCGTCCCATTGGATTTCACGCGAAGTGTTTTGTTGCCCTTCCTTGCTTCAACCACCATCCTGACGATCCACATGTGCTTAATAACAACGTTACCTTGGCCTGGCGAATTAGCATGGACCTATCTATCAATGGTTCATTACGCGACATAACTACTTGAAAACAAAATAATATCAAAGCAACTCAGGCTTGATGAAACCGCTCCCAAGTGGTGGCGGTAGTGGTGGTGGTGATGCTTTTGGGCTTTGAAGCGTCGACCAAGAAGGTAGCTTGGCGAGGCATTTGGTGCTCCAATAAGAGCAAGTTGTCCACTTGGTTTCGCGCATCAATGTAGTGCTATCAAAAACAACGCTCATACGTCCATGTGCCGACGCGGTGTCCCACCTCCACGAGCAACTCGCGGCACTTGGACGAGCTGTCCGTAGACGCGTACGGAATCAACCCTCGTCGCAGCGCGTCTTTGACTTCCCACGTCCGGATATGGTTGTCACGGACTCGAACCAAATGCTGGCGGCGTCGCTTGGTCGTGTCTACGGCTGCTAGGTCGGCATACATGGCTTTGTCCTACCATGACAATTCTATCGTGGTCATATATTCCCAATAACATGTCAACACAACTCCCTTGCCTCGTTGGACAGGTGCCGCCACGCTTTTTGAATCGCCCGAACACTAGTCGAAACTGTCGACGGGTCGCTCCTCTGACGTTTGGAGTAGATGCTGAATGCCGTTGTGGGCTTGATCTGTGCCATCGATTAAACACATATGTATAGCCCATCGCGGTCATTATTGAAGGCATTGTTACCGAAAACGGAATACGGCGACGCGCCGGTTTGGGAGGTGGCTCGTGACTACATACATATACATACATGCGAATGAAAGTTCCGTCGCACGTTAAAAGTGAACTCGTTCGTTGCCCTTTACCTGGCAGAAGGCAATGGTGCTGTGCCGACCGCTGGAGCGTCTAGCGTGCCGTTAACGTGAGTTAACGTTGGTCCCCACTGATCTACAAAGCGAAAGCAATCATGCCTAGGACAAACAACGGTTGGACAATGTACCACACTCCAATGGCAACCGAACAGCATGTTCCAGGCGCGGCATGGCCCACACTGGCTGGTCCGTCTTGGTCCCGCCGAAGATGACTCGGCGATAAAAGTGCACTTGTTCCCGAATAGAGAGTGCAATCGCAGCGTGAAATGCAGCGGGTAGCTGAAGGTCGCGACACATCTAGAAACACAAGGAGTAAAGTCGACACAATGATGTTGCCGTCTACTGTAACGTTACCACGAGTGCAAAGTGCTCGGGGCTGTTTGAATCGTCGTTGATATTCCACTCAAATTGGTCTTGAACCTACCAAAGTCACCACTTGCTCGGTACATATTGCCCCAGGTTTCGTGTACGTACCAACAGCCCATCGATTTGAATGTGGATGCAAATGGGATGCAAACGGTCCTCGCATTGGTACCGTGGAATTTTGGCCGATTGCTGGTCAAGTTGCTGGCAGATGGATGCAGCGATGGAGTTCTAGGAAGATGTCATAGTCATTGCTGTGTGATAACTCAATACTCACTTGGAACGTTGGCGAAAGCTTGAGCTCTGCAGCCGTAATGGCAGCGAATTGGATCGGCGTCGTTTCGTTGGCGTCGACATTCCAAAGAATAGTTTCCTGAATGCGACGATCCAGGCCAACCTGAAAATCAATCCGAATGGGGCGAAGGGGGTCAGTGGTGGCCATCAGTTGGTCACAACGGCGTCCAAGGGCAGGAGTGGCAGATTGGCGAGTATGTGATCGCGGGGCGATTCTTGTCCACTTGCCACGAATGTCCATCGACCATGCTCCTCGATCCATTGCTCGACGACCATGTTGAGTCTTCATTTGGTTTCGAAGGTTCATCAAGCCCCTTGTTAGGTACTCCTTTGCATCGATCGGTGACCTGTCATCGATAAGCTCGAGTTTGACGGCTCGCGTAGATTTGCGCTTTGACTGCCGAGCTGGTTTTGTTTCTGTGGCTTTCGCATGATGCATTCCAGACTGAACGATGCCGTTGGAGCGAACTAAAAGCGCATCAACAGGGAGCGATGTGTACGCGATGTCTTTTTGTTGCACCAAGTCTTCCAATGCGTTGGACATGAGGAAGAATTCAACCCTTGCTTCGATGTCGTCGTCGTTATCGTTGTAATCGTCATTACCATGCTCTTTCCCGGCCATCCATCGCTGGAAGTCTGGAAAAGACCGCATAAGGAGCGCAGATACAGTTTCTTCATTCAGGTTGAGCTTCTTCATCAGGCAGGAGAGTCGGCGCTGCATGCTCTTGCCCTAGTGAAATCGAATCTGGCAGTTGGATCTTCGCGCGCAATTTCAAACATTATCCTTTTAAGTACGACCTGTGATATAAATCCAATCTCGCGTAATTTAATTTCAACAGGAAAAACGATCTTGCTTTTACATGTTAAATATATGTCTGTAAGAGTTCACGTTAATAAATAACGCCGCAACCTCGAAAATAATAGTGATTGTTTAAGTACGGATTGGAATTAGTGTCGCGTGTAGCATGTCGTAGCGCCACAGGATGACGCCGCTGACATCACACGTGCGACGAAAGTAGTTACTCGACTTGGTACATGTAGTTGGGGATCTTGAACGGCGACCCCGTGAATTCGCCCGTGATGTCACAGAATTGATCTCCAATGCACCCGATGACCTTGTGGTGTTCTCGGTGCAGCGCAGTGCGCATGTTCTGCTTGAGCTTTGCCACAGACAGCATTTGTTCATGCGGCAACCGCATGATCAGTCTACAGCATCATCAGCGACGGTTGAGAAAGTCCATGTCTTCGTACTCGGACGTGTCCACCGTGTACCCTGCCGCATGCAGCATGGATAGCGTATGGTCACGCACGACCTCGGGTCGTTCGGTCAAAAACATGACCTAGGGGAGTAGATTTAGCCATACAGTATATATATATAGGCATCAAATACAAATAACTACCTTGATGTGTTTCCATTGCAAGTACGTGTAAAACTTGAACAGCAACGGGATCACGGGCGCGTGGTATCGGGCATAGTAGTAAAACTCGGTCGCTGGAATCGCTTTGAACCCGCGCTCCTTCATGTACCAGTAGCTGGTCACGGCCGTGTCGTCCACGTCAAACACAAATACTACCAGGATGTGAAATATATATATATATATATATCGACAGCTTACCCGAGCCGGGGACAACGGGCACCGACTCGAGCTTTCGCACGGCGCGACTGAGGATGATACCGCAGTCGCGCTCAAACAGCGTCGTGTGATCGGCAGTCGTGGGCTCGTAGAACCCCCGTAGAAACGCCGTGGACATGCACAACGTCGCTAAGTTGGACAACCGGGGCGCCTACTCCACATAGTGTCTGTGCCAAAACCGTTCAACGATATCGAAACAGTTACAAGGGCCGCCGACTGCGTAAGTGTCTTGGGTAGATGGAGGTTCCGCCCCAGAAGCAACTGCGTGGATTCAGGCTCCACGCCCAACACCCGCTGCAACTGGTCGGGGGACACCCCTTCGCACAGCTCAAATCTGCATACCGTTCGTCATACAGATGGAGCGTGCTTCTTGTGAACGTCATGAAGTACCGAGAGGGCACAGTGCGTTGCCCAGGCACTCGAACAAAGCAATCGGGGACGTCGACGACGTCGGTGGGGTACGGAGGCGGTGGCTCGAGCACGTCGTGCTTGACTCGGCGGGACAACGACACCGATCGGCACAGTTTTTGCCGTGTCATGTTCAAGTCACTGCAAATCGTGTACAAAATGACGCCAGTTTCGTGTCAGGTAGTAGTATAGTACAGTACCTGAGAAGGGCCGTGTAGATAGGACAGAACCCGAGCCCGACAAACGCAGACAGAAACGCATCGTCGAGCTTGTACAGCTTAGCTTCGGCGCGGGACTTAAGCAAGTACGGCTCGTGGGCGCCATGGAACCGCGTCAGCATCTGGACCGCCGTCGCGCGGGCGGCAGGAAACGTTAGGAATTCCATCTCGAGCTACGTCACTTTGGTCACGATCGGTCGTGCCAGAAGGGGAGGGGACTACGACAACCTCGAATTTGTGTACGTAGGCTTGGTACACGATGTCGTCGCGGGTGCCGTCGTCGTCGGCGATGATCTTGACAAACACTTTGAACGCCAGCCGTGACCGCGCGTGGGCTTTGGCATGGATCGCCCAGTTCAGCTCGGCCACAGCTGGATCCATTATTGTACCGTTTACCTGGTTCCACACCATATGGTGGGCTATTTTTAGCTGGATGGCTTGCTTTGTGTTGGGTTGTTCAAAAAGCGAAGTGCTTTGACATGGAGTACACGCGAAGCTCCGTACGCCCGTGCATGCACCCAGCTCTTGGTGCGATATTAACACTTGCTTGGTAGTATACCGGCCCCACGACGTTTGGCCGATTCAATGGCCACGGCACGTACACGTTTGGGGATGGTACAGTACCCCTCTATGTCCTTCTATGTCGTGCTTTGGTTTCTTTTAAGGTCTTGTGTAGGCTCGCGGTACGAAGGCGAGTTTCAAAACGGGCAGTTCCACGGCACAGGCACGTTGTTCTTTGCCCAAGGCAAGTACGAAGGCACGTGGAAAGACGGCAAAGTACGTCCAACTACTAACTAGTGGTGCCTGTATTGTGCTTTCGAGTGAAATTTCGTGTTGTGGCGTGGTTTCTCGTTGGAATTTAAATCGATTTAATTGGCTAGCTCAAAATTATTAGCCAATCAAAACCTTCTCAATAAAATTCAACCAATCAGATCGATTGTGGATCGGTTTGGTCGGCGCGATTCGATTGCACCCCCTCCCCAAATTTGTATCAAATCGCCAATATGAACCGGTTGTAACTTGTGTGCGATATATACTGGTGTAGCGAGTGGACGGGCACTTTACGTTTGCCGACGGGTTGAAGTTCGATGACCCGTGGACGTACATGGACGACGCGGACCGGCGGTTCCATTCGGAAAAGGTCGCGTTTGCGAAATCTTCGTCCGAAGCGAAAGCCGGCAGCGGCATCTTACCTGCGGGCGAGACAGCGCACTGCGACGAAGGGTTGCAAAAGTCGCTGCCAATGGGGTACTACGACGCGGGCAACGGCATGTACGACGAGCTCACCAACACCATCATGCCCGTGTCGACCTCTGACATGTCCGACTTGCCGCGGGAAGCCACAGACGAAGAGGCGCGGTGGATCAAGGCCTGCGCAGCCAAGGGGTTCCCGCAAAAGAACAACGAATAAAGACAAAATTTCGGAGTACTACAAGCAAATACATACTCCATGTAGTTTATTTCACTACTATACCAAGTGCAACTTACACTACGCACAACAACACTTGGTTATCCGGATACTATAGGCTACATAGGAAAGAGAGGGTACGTACCAGCGTCAGCGTGACCAAACAATGAAGCCGACGGTGTACTACTTGTCAAGCGAGCCACGGGGCCAGCTAAATAGGTTGTGGACGCTGGCTTGCTTTCGTTATCCACACTGCTGCCTTCCAACACGCAAATGAGGCGATCGTTCACCTACAACACACCCGCTTTAGCTCCTGTATAGAGGACTGGACATTGCAAACTGTCAAGCAGATCTCGAGGGTACGCTCGTCCAACTTGCCGGCCAGGCCGGCCTCGATGAGCGAGTTCATGCGCGGCTGGCACTGCTGCAAAAAGTCCAGCACGTCCTCGACGTCGTGGTTGTCGTCGTCGCCACGGGCACCAAGAGCCACTAAAGTTTGATACGTTTGAATCTTTTCTTGGACGGTAACGAGGTCTTGGTGGAGCTTTTGAAACTCGGCGGCCAGGCTGGGGGACATGGTGGCCACGGGTTTGGCTTCGTCGATGGCCGTGGCGGGAAGAACGCTGGCGGCAAAGTCTCGACTGGTGATCGAGGAGGGAGATGCAGGGGTCGACGGAAATGACACGCCTTGTACCCGTAGCTGCTGGTACGTGTCGCGAAAGATGGATTGGTCGGGGTAGTTGGCTGCCCAATCTTGCAACATGCGGGTCGCGCGTTCTTGCACGGCTGGGGACGAGTGGTCGACCAACGCCACCACTTCCTGGAGAAACAGCCGAGACGCGAGGTGATTGTAGAACCCAGGACAGTTGTTCAGGACCGATTCGGTCACGAGGAGCGCCAGGGAGATGCTGTTTTCGTCATGCTGGCGATGGCCCAACACACGTTGGAGACTCCGCGTCGTTTGTTCGGCACTAAATCCATGATTAGGTCCGGGGAATGTAAAGCGACGAGGGATCATACTGTGTGGACGAGCTTGTCACCAAGTCACAGAGCTCCAAGATGTTAATCCAGTCGGGGTTGGACACTTCCCCACTGCAGATTGTGTCGATGAGACTGCTAATGTCTTGCACTGCTTCCACGTAGGACGACGCCATGTCGGCTGAAGCTTGGTGTGTTCCCTTTGTGTAATCCGGTTAACAACGGCACTATGCGGATGTTGTCGAATCGAGAGAAACATTAATAATATTGATATTGATATTACACTGTAAAGTTAAGATCGCTCAGCAGGCACTTAATAGAGAAACATTATTATAAATATAACAATATTCATAATATTAAACCGGAGGAATAATATTTATCTTGTACTACTAGAACGTATTACAGTAGTATTAATAGTACTTCTTCGGTACTTTCACGAGAAAGTACGCACGGAAAAATCGTTTCAACACCATACTGGTATTCCTGAGCGTGCAGTACTGTTAACTATTTTTGCGGTGACTCCAGAAGCTATCAATCTGCGTGAAGAGAGTACCCGCAGACCCTTGCTCGTCCCTTACTCGTACACAACAGGTGCTTGGGTTGATATCTCCAAAGGCGAAAGGTCGCGCGACCACAGCCACAAGGATATTCTGCAGAGTGGGATGATGTTGTGGTATCCGGTGATTTCAAGCATTATCCGTATTTCGCCCCACCTGGTTGGTTATCCGATCGATATCTGGATTATCCGGATATGCCATGTCGAAGATTGACCCACGGATGGAACCTCGTCATTCACGATTTGGGTTGACGACTGGCAATGTTGCGATCCCTTGCGCGCACCGCCGCGACCCCCCGCGCAACCTCATTGTGGACAGCGCAAGGCTCTCGCGGCAAGCACACGTTGGTCCTGATGCGTCATGGCGAAAGTGAATGGAACAAAACCAACCAATTCACGGGCTGGTACGACGCGCCGTTGAGTGCAAAGGGACACGAAGAGGCCAAGGCCGCTGGCAAGGCCGTCGCGGAGGCTGGCTTGACGTTTGACGTGGCGTACACTTCGTACTTGCGCCGCGCCATTCGCACGTGCTGGCATGTGTTGGAGGAATCCGATCAGATCTTTGTTCCCATTCACAACGAGTGGCGCTTGAACGAACGCCACTACGGCGGTCTCACTGGGCTAGACAAGGCGGAAACCGTCCAAAAGCACGGCAAGGAGCAGGTTCTGATTTGGCGCCGCAGCTACGACATCCCACCGCCTCAATTGACGACGGACAGCGAGTACTACCCTGGCCACGACCGTCGATACAAGGACTTGAACAAGGAAGACTTGCCATTGAGCGAGTCCCTCGAGATGACGGCGGCGCGGGTCATGCCTGTGTGGGAACAAGAGATTGCCCCTGGTGTCCTCGCCGGCAAGAATATCCTCATTGCAGCCCACGGCAACAGTTTGCGCGCGTTGATCATGCATCTTGACAACATCTCCAAGGACGACATCACAGAGTTGAACGTGCCGACCGGTGTGCCGCTCGTGTACCACTTGGATGACAACTTGAAGCCCATTCGCCATCGGGATGCCATTGCGCCGTTGAGTGGCCACTATTTGGGCAATCAGGACGAAATCCGAGCGCGCATTTTGGGTGTGAAGAACCAGACAAAGTAAAAGTCAGCTACTAATACATCGCGGATGAAATAGCATATTCAATGTGGACAACGACAAGTGTAGTAGTAAACCGACCTCGTGGCTGCAATGTTGTAACTCTGGAAATGACAGATTCCAAGCAGGAGTAGGTAGTTTGCAGAGATAGCGAACCAATCACCACCTTATCCTCAATAGTATATAGTATCCCACCCATCACCAGACACTTGTAGGTGAAAGTGACGCGTGCGGACGGAACTGATGGAGCAACCCCACCGGTGCGACTGTAAACACTATTTTCACTTCTATCCGGATGATTTACAGTTTTGACAACCCCACGCGGCAACTGTAAAATAGCAGGAAACTGTATAATTTTACCGCGAGACTGCAAAGTGGCCAGATTTACAGTTTCGATTGTAAAATACAACTACAGTGCTGGCAATAAGTTTAAAGAGTCCCCAAAATTGTTGTGTTCTGAAGATTCTGTTGCAACTTGGCCATGCCAAGTTATGCAATTGATTCGAGCATGTATTCCATCGCTTCTGCACTGATTCAACCGCCTTAAGCTGTCCATGATTCAATCAAAGTACAAAAACGCAAATTCAGATTTTTTTTACCTGGCAATAAGTATAAAACCACCATGCTTTTTATGCTCTTCCAGGCGTTTTTAAGTCAAAAACACGCGTTTTTAATGCTCCGGTCCCTGTATTTGACCGATTCCCGCCTGAATCAACTTTTAAACGCAAGTGCATCATGCCAGCCGGCGCCAAGCTCTCCGAAGAAGAGCAAGGCATGGTTTTGGCCCTTAAAGCCGCCGGGAAAAGCCTCCGAGAGATCGAGCTTCTCATTAGACGCTCGCGGGGTGCCATAACTCGGTTCCTGATGGACCCCACGGCATATAACACGAACAAGCGGACGGGACGACCACCAAAGGTCACTCCTACCGACCTTCGACGGCTCATTCGGACAGCTTCGAACTCGTTTTTGAGTTCACGCGAGCTCGTGCAGCAGTGCCAGCTCACCATCAAGGCCCGACGTGCCCGTCAATTGCTTGGAATATGCAAGCACCTCAAGTTTGTCAAGGCCATGGCCTCGCCAGTTCTCACGGACAAGCACAAGAAAGCCAGGATTCAGTGGGCCCGGGCCATGCTCGTTCACGGCTCGGACCGGAATAATGTCGTCTTTAGCGACGAAAAGAAGTTCAACTTGGACGGACCCGACGGGCTCAAAGTACTATTGGCACGATCTACGCAAGGAAAAAGCGATATATTCCAAGCGCCAATCTGGTGGTGGAAGCGTCATGGTTTGGGGCGCTTTTAGTGCCATGGGAAAGACCGATTTGGCCTTTTTGGAGGGTTCGCAGGACAGTGGCGCCTACATCGGGACGTTGTCTGACTATTTGTTTCCCTACATCGATTATTACTATGGTCGTGACTGTGTCTTTCAGCAAGACAACGCCTCGATCCATGCGTCGCGAGAGACCAAAGCGTTTCTTAACGAGCATGGCGTGCATGTTATGGAGTGGCCAGCGAAGTCGCCGGATCTCAATCCGATCGAGAACATGTGGGGTGTTCTTGCACGTGCAGTTTATGCACATGGGCGCGAATTTGCGACAAAAACTGACTTGGTTGCTGCCATTTCCAAGGCGTGGAACGAAATCGGGCAAAACTTGATCGAAAAGCTTCTGCAGTCAAAGCCGAATAGGTGTGTGGCTGTCTTAGAGCTCAAAGGTGGCAAAACGAAGTATTAAGCACAAATATTTGTCACTACACATACAATTTTTGCTGTTTTTCTGTGGTGGTCTTAAACTTATTGCCAGGGTAAGTATTCACCTGACTCACAAAAGTCGCATTTTTGGTTATGCTTTTGGAAGCACAAGCATTTCAATATCATTCACACGTGATCCAAGCTCATTCAATGTTTTTGTACAGGCACATTCGTTCATGGTGTTCTCCTACTCCAATTTTTTTGGGTGACTTATTGCCAGCACTGTACGTAGTACTAGTATGTAGTATTAATAACGTTAGTACTCCGGAGTACAGTTTTGACGAATTAGCCAAAAACATGCTATGAATAGATAATTTCGTCCAATCATCGGTGTCATGTACTGTGTGTAGTTGACGAATAATCACTTACCTTTGAGCAAATGGATCCTCCAAACGCGCTCGTGGCTCACACTTCACTAAACTCGTCGAGTGCATCGACAGCCCAACCAAAGCACAACCTTCGCTGAGTAGTCACACAAGTTCTCAGCCATGAATGACCGATTTTCCTTACTCATCAACCCATTGCTTAGAACAGTCGTCATTCTCAAACGCATCGTCGTCATGGTGAGTCCATATACCTGCAGTATACCGACCTTGACCAACTAAAGTGCAGGTGAGTTTTGCTCCCCATTCTGTAAATTGACTGTGAGACCGAAATAGGCAGTCCCTACATAGTCGAGCATCTTCAGCCTTGTATTGTCTCCCGCTTCTTCTCGGCTTTCGGCCACGGGACCTTCGTCGAGGCAGCAAATATACACACTGATATTAGTGAGGTTAAACACGCCACGAGGCGCCTACT